GGAGGGAAGGGTGGGAAGGGGGGGGGGGCGTTCGGGGAGCTGCTGATGGCCGAGGACACGGAACGGGCAAAAAGGGTGACGTGGGGTTAGGTTAATGAAGGACAACGGGCCGCAGCTCGCCCGGGGGACAGGGCGCGCACGGGGGCCAGGGGCACAAAGACGGGGAGGGGAGCGAACACGAGAGGGGCGCGAGGGAGAGAGAGATGGAGGGGGTGCTTCTGGGGACGTGGCGCTCACAATGGGGATGAGGGATGGGGATGGCGGTCGTTTTGCGTGAGCGGTAATGCCGCTGTAAGGAAGGAGGTATAGTATACGAGGGGGGTAGGGGGGCAGGTTTAGGGCGAGTGTTCGTGTGAGCGCGGCGGGCCCCACCGGCGGCGTGCTCAGTACGCCCGCTGCACCCCGTCGGCTCGCTTGCGGGGCGCCGCGCGTAGTGCGGCCGCTATTCGACCGTCTGGTCTGTGAATAAACCGGCTCGTTCCACGTGATTTGCCCTCCGGCTGTAACGATGCTGTTTCCCGTTGACGAGGATTCGCGGAGCTGGCCCCGCCGCCGCCGCTGCCGCACTCCGCGAAAGGGCCCCGCCCCTACTTGAGGGGCGCGAGGGAGATTTTCTGGCGGATTTTTATGCCCGGCCCGAAGGAAACCACAACTCCGCCAACCTGGAAGGGGTGGGCACGTCGGGCAGTGCGATTCGGAGAAGGAAGGAAGAATGCCACAGGCTGTTCGCTTCGCGGTAAGGGCGGCGCAAGCACAACCAAAGACCGGGGGAGGGAGGGAGGGATGAGGGTGGTGCCGACAGAGTGGTGCTTCGTCTCCTCAGCCTTGATTTCATCGGTGGCGGAACAACTTGCCTTGTCCTGGTAGAGCGAACTCAGCCACAGTTTGCCTGTCGTCCAGCTGCATTTTCCCATCTCAGAGTGACTGTCCACGACTCCGCGAGGATACACTGTGAATCCGGGGTGTCCAGCAGGTAGGCGACGAAGTCGCCTGACCCCCAAAACTAGGAGACTTCTGTCGACTATCTGCTGGATACCTCCTGGTCGGTTAATTGCATGGCCACAAATGAGTGGAATGCCTATGGACTCATACAATGCAATTAGTCGGACGGAAGACAAGATGGTGTCCAGCAGCAGGTAGTCGTCAAAAGTCGCCTAGTTTTTGATTGTACCTGCTGGACGACACCCCGGATTCACAGTGTAGGCAACTTCCGGGGTCGGGGGGTCCGTGTCCACCAGCGATCCAAAGAACTGATGACTAGTGCGGAGGGCCGGCAGCGTGTGCTCACGCGTGCGTGCGTGCGTGCGTGCGCAGCGGTCCCCCGGGCCCGCGCCGCGGTGCGCCACGCAGGGGCGGCTGCCCATGACCTTGGCTCGTGCGTTCCCCGCGGCAGCCACCGGCCCGAGGGTACCATACCGGCCGTTATCTGGACGTGCGGCGAGGCCTGTTAAACAACAACTCTGATCACTGGCGTGTGTGCTTCCAGTATTCATGGGTTAGCGCCGGGCGCCGCCGCCGCCGCCGCCCTGGCCGGGGGTGGTGCCCACCCTGCCCACCCCCCGGCGGGCGCGCTGCCGCTGCCCCTGCACCAGGGGTCGCCGCTCGCGGCCCCGATGAAGCGAGTCAACGGCTGGCGGCCGCCGCCGGACGTGGCGGGCCCGCCGCCCCCGGCCGCCTCCGCGTCCCCTAGGAAGGGCGCGGCCTGGGCCGGCTCGGCGCCCACCGCGGGCGCCAGCGCCAGCCCGGGGCACGCCGTCTGGATGAGCCCCGGCACGGTGCTGCTGCGCGGCCACCGCGTGGACACGGGCACGCCGGGCTCAGCCTCGCCCAAGAAGCAGGTAAGTAAGGCCCCTCAATGAAGAACAAAATAAAAATATTTTTTAAAAAAAATCAGTGTTCACCCTAAAGAAATCAGAAAAAAAGAACAGAAATTAAAGAAATAGACCAGTAAAAATTAAGAAAAACAAAACGACCTGTAAACGCTCGAATATATAGTGAAGTACCTCTGGGCCGTGTTCCTGCGGCGTCTGTCCTCGTGTTTGTCATGTCTCGCTCCGCACTGCAGAAGGGCGAGTCGTTCCACGAGGCCATGTCCGGCATCCTGGTGGCGGCGCAGGTGTTCGGCCTGCTGCCGGTGCGCGGGGTGCGCCGGCCCAGCCCTCTCGACCTGCGCTTTGAGCGCCGGTCCTCGCGCGTCGCCTGGTCGCTCGTGCTGTTCGTGGGCGTGTGCCTCGTCGAGCTGGTCTCGCTGCGCCACATGGCCCTCACGCTCAGCGCCGACACGTTCGGCGTCATCGGTGAGTAGACGACAAGGAGACGATGGTATGAGAGAAAAAAAAATACTGAACTGCGTAATGACGCATGTCGATCACCTCAGTTTTTGAGGAATATTCCCTAAGCGAGCTCTAAGAGTTAATTTTTGATGTCACCATTGGATTTTCGGTAAAATTTCTGATTAAAGGAGCTGACATAATGTGATGGGGTTTGGATTCCAAACACTGGAAAAGTCGTCGTGAACGTCAACGAATGCAGTTTTCAGTGAAGTTTTGTAAGTCTAACTAAATGTGGACGTACAGGTGGCATCGGGGCGGCCACGGCGGGCGCCGTGTTCTACGGCAACGCGCTCATCGGCGCCCTGCTCATGTTCCGGCTGGCGCAGCGCTGGCCGCGCGTCATGGAGGCATGGGCCGACATGGAGGCCACGCTCCGCAAAGGCAGGACGCCCAAGCTCCGGCTCCGCTTCTCCGTCCTGTGCGCCGTCGTCATGCTCGGCGCGCTGGGTACGCTTCGACTCGTCGTCCCCAGCTTACTTCCTCAAATAGTGTAAGAGTTTTTGACCATGGAAATCGTGTTTCAGTCGAGCACACGATGAGCATGCTCAATGCGGTCCCCATCTTCATTGGCGTGCACTTCTACGGCGAGACCAGACCTCCGCCCGAGGACGGCCAGCACGGTAAACTCCCACTTTCTCTCACGCCCCACCGAGGCCACTGTTGCGATCAACTTTAGTTCAATTCTGAAAGCCAACTCTGATTGTTTAGTTATCGACACCTCGAGTGGCGTTTTGCTCGAGTTTCTGGACGAGTACTGCCATGCGTCTCACAGCTTCATCTTCAACCACGTCCCGTACAACGCCTTCACCGGCCTGCTCATCTTCATCATGTCTAAGGTGACCACCTTCACGTGGAACTTCGTCGACCTGTTCCTCATGCTGGTGTCCACGGGACTGGCCGAGCGCTTCAAGCAGTTCAACGCCGTGGTCTTCGAGTCTGACGTCGCGGTAAGTTCAAATCTTTTTCGACGTTCGCCTTGCTCTCAGGCGTCGGTCGATGAGGATTAATTTCCGAATGGAAGTTAAAAGGAAAGATGACATTGGGACGGTACCGGAACAATTCTTCCTAAAGCTAGGAAACACGGGAAACCTCAAAAAGAAATACTGGAATTTACCTCAGATTTTACTGTAATTCTTTCCAGTGGATCTTTCTTGTTAAAAAAAGTTAACAAATGCTCTGTGGGACAGATGCTGAACAAGGAAGACTGGCGGGAGCTCCGCGAATACTTTGCCACTTTGTCGGCTCTCACCAAAAACGTGGACAGCAACATTTGCTCCATCGTGTTCCTCTCCTTCGGTAACAATCTGTACTTCATCTGCCTGCAGCTGCTCAACGGCCTCTCGTAAGCTAAATAATAATTGCCCTAATTGCCTGAAAATTTTACTCGAAAAATCCGATTTGTTTTATTTTAAAACGATGTGGTTTTTGATTGTGGACGCACAGCCCGGGAAAAGCCTCGTGGTTGGCGACCATGTACTTCTTCTACTCGTTCGGGTTCCTGCTCGGCCGCACCGTGATGGTCACCCTGATCACGGCCAGGATCAACGACATGAGCAAGGAGGGTCTGGCCGCGCTGTTCAGCTGCCCGTCGGAGACCTACAACGTCGAGGTTGGCGGCCCTGGTCAATAAAGCTGTCCGCTGTCGCCGCCGGGCCTCGGACCTCTTTCAAAAATGATAACCCTCCCCCTCTGCGCGTGCTTTTGTTCAGGTGGCGCGGTTGCAGCACCAAATGGCGTCAGACGACTTGGCTCTGACAGGGCTCCGCTTCTTCTCCATCACGAGGAACTATATGCTGGCCGTGAGTGTACTCCCAGAGCTCCCAGAGATAGAGCGCTCGGATATTTTGCAAAAGCTCGGAACTTTTTTTTGCATGTTGCTCTTTGAAAAGTGCAGAAGATCACAGCTTTTCTGCTTTGTTTTTTTGACAGGTTGCCGGGGCGATCGCCACGTACGAGATCGTCCTGCTCCAGTTCAACGTGGCCATCTCGCCGCACCCGACGCAGCCGCCGCCGGACGGCGCCGTGGTGGTCACCCTCCCGACGGCGGGGCGGTAGCGGCAGCGGTAGCGGCACCGCGACCACGACGACGGAGAGGGGGCAAGAATGAGTCTGAGAAATCTTCCACGATATCGTGTAATTCATGAATGGCATATGACGGCCACATTCGCGGCCACCAAAGCTCTTCTGTGATAAA